AGTGAGCATTCTCAGAGAAAACAACACTGGGACTGTTCAAGAACTGAAAACTACATGTGGATTTACTATATGTTTCTAGACGAGGGCTGGTGTGCTCCACCCAGGACGCTCTGAGGTTGCCAGAGAACGATAAATCAACACAGCCATCTGAACTGAACTGGAAGTCTGACATCCTGTGTGCCAGCAGGAAAATTTCCACTTCTCAAAATATTTTTATTAATAAGTGTTGTATATTGGTTATTTAAAGCCGAGTGTAACTAATCAGTATAGTCATCTATCCTGACATTTATGGTTACAGAAAACCAGCAGCAACAGCCTCTAAAGTTACTTCGGTCTTTTTGCCTTAAGTCTTCCCCTTGGCAATGACTGAACTTTGCTTTGGGAGCAGGCTTGTTTAAGGTTATTTAATACAAGAAGTTGGAAAATATTGCTCAACGAGAGATTTGGAAAGGTTTGCTAATTTAGCTATTGATTCATTTATAACCTTCTTGGCAGTTTTATAAGCATGTGCAACCTACTGCAGTAATTGGGTTGCTTACTACATGTTGATCGTTAGCGTTAAGATAAGATGCTCACACTAAATCACGAAATCCACTCCCCACAAGCTAAAGACAGGTGACCTGACTCATTATTCACTTGAGCACACACTTATCTACATGCACATGCACAGAATTAATGGGGACTGTTATCTGAATTGGGGGATCTGATAAACATCCTTTCTTCAAGTCCCTGGGAACATGACAACTTTAAAGCTAGCTCTGCTGTTAGCTGGGGGCCACGGGGGCAATTACGTGACCTCCAGTGGTTCCTCCCAGTCTAAGTTTTTCTGTTTGATTTACTGCCTCATACTCTCCAGCTCTCCACGGGCAGGGACATCCTGCTTGCCAGTTCTGGAGCAACAATGAAAAACCAGAAAGTACTCCCCTTTTTCACCTCACAGGCTGGCTTATTATCAGTTTAACTTTACTAGTGAAAGCAAAATTGCCCCAGAATGCTGGGCTAGAAGCTGGAGCATCTAAGGTATAGTCAATCCTGTAACAACATCCCACGCCAAAGCAGCTACATTGACCAGAGAAATGTCCAACACAGAATCAGAGAATTATTAAGGTTGGAAAAGACCTCTAAGATCATCTAGCCCAACTGTCCAACTACCACTGATACTGCCCACTAATCATGTCCCTGAAAGTCTTGCCCAGGCACCCTGCTCCTCCAGCCCCTCTACGATGGGGCATTACAGCGGATCCACAGCCCTCAAGAGTTTACAGAATCTAGTCAAGGAGATTGTACAATCTGCTTTTAAGCTAATTAAGTTTCTAAACTACTCACAAGAAAGCCAGGAAAGGAAATTTGCAGCACAGTAAGTGGGGAGAGGTCAGTTATTTATGAAACAGTGCTAAATTTCAAATATAAAAGTTCTCTTTGGTGCGTAACAAGACTAATATTTTCATATTAGTATCCTTCATGCCTGAGAGAACCTAACAAAGGTTCTCTCTCCTTCACCAGTCACACTTCTAAATAAAATAAATCAGGAGTCCCCGAACTTCAAAGGGAACATACTTCAAAGGGCACTTCTGCTGCTTCTTTGTATACTCCCTCTCTTCCTATCTCTTAGGCAGCCACACTAACTCACATTAATCCCTGACGCCTTAATCATCCCCTAACTGTTCAGCAAGGAAACATATTACTTAGTCCAAATATCTATAAAACATTTGAACAATGAAATTTAATTATTTCCTGAGTTTCCACTTAACATTTTAGGAGTAGAATGATATTTGAATGGACATAATGGGCTCATGCATGTATATAATTTTTAGGCTTAATCACAAGAGCTTTCTATTTGTACTGAAACAAAAAGTCTGATGACTGTAATTCATATCTGCAACACCTAACACTCCCATACATGAAAAACACTTGGAACTCAGGAGCACACTGTATGCTTAAGGCAGTGAAATACTCACAGCGCCTTAAATGCGCAGAACTACTTAAGTACTTGCTGTGCAAAAGCTAGGCTGTAGTGAAACACCAGAAGGGCTCTTCAACTCATCCAGTGACTGACCCAAAACCAACCCAGCTCAAGTACTAATAAAACCCATACATCTTTGATACAGTCAAATTCTTTGTTTGATTCAGATCTCCCTGTACCCCATGTCTGTAACAGAATGAGGTCTCAGATAAATCAAGAGTATCTGAAGGAGACTACACAGGGACTGTTGTTTATTCCAATGAATCTCTACTATTTAGTTAATTTTTAACTTCTCTATGCCCACATATAAAGGAAAAAAAAAGAGAACAACTCCAGAAAAATCCTCACAGCCATTTCTTTGTTTCTTTTATAGCTCTTTCCTGTTCTATTCTATTTGCTAGCTAGGCACTGAGCTAGCAAACATATAAATACATTTTGTTATTCAAACCACTATTCCTTCTCAATTAAACAATACTTTCCACCTGAAGGAAGTTATTCCTGGGCACAGTGGTGTGCAGGATTTGAACAATGTATTTCAAACATATTGGATTAGTTATTTTCTTACTCTGCTGCTAAGAAAACAAGCATACCAGCAACAGACAGAAAAATAAGTCACTGTCTATGAGAAGATTGTTTTGTACACAATAAGATTTCAAGACTTTCATAGGATCTACTTAAAGGACATTCTAGCTGCTTTCCGTGTTCACTGGCTGCTGCTACAACAGGTACTTAGGGCATTTTATGTTAAGAATGAGGAATTAGGTAGCAGTTGCCACTCGGGGTATGAATAAAACTACACTTACGTTCACCAGAAAGTCAAATTCAGGAAACAAAGGCTTACATTAACTATTTAGTTCAATTCTCAAAGAACAGAAAAGTTCCATGAGATTGGCCACAGCAGGCAAGCACAAATGTCTGTTTAGCCACATATTGTATCTCCAACAGCAGCCATCTCCAGACATGTAGGAAAAGCTGAAGGACAGGCAGTGCAATTTCTTAGAACTAGAGTGTAATCTGGAAGGGGATGTGACTTCTGAAGGTCATCCAGTTCGGTCCCCGACTGGAGCCGGGCTTCCCCTTCTGACTCCCGCCAAAACTGCCACCAGTTCAACCAGTTCGTGGCTCTGGAACTTCCCAAGCCAGAAGAGATGCCTTTGCACTTTCTTCATCATCTACTAGCAGATGGTCTAAGAAAATGCTAATTTACCACCTCTGAAATTCCTTACTTACATGATTGCTGATTTATGTGTCCACAGAGCTCAGCTGTAACCCTTCCTCACTCCTCCACAGCTCCACTACTGAGACTGTGCAACGGAGTGTACGCTCCATTACACAGCCTCAATCAAAAGTCCAAAGTGGCCAGTTCAATACTCCAGAGAGAAACAAGGGAAATTACACAAGGCAGTGTGACTTGGCTGCCTGCTGCCTTTGTTATTTGCTTCAAATTCCTGTATTTATATATCCCAAAAGAGAAAAGCTATTTTTCTAAACAAACAAACAAACAAAAAGCAGTGCATTCAAATGCCAAATGCCCAACATCTATTGTCCCAGGCCCCGGGAAGGCAGTGCCATCATCATACATGGTTCACTCCAGTAGCACCAGGTACCAAGCAGTATCAGTCATGGCCTTACTTTCTCATGTCAGATTAAAACCAGTTACCCACACGTCAAAATCAAAAACAGTTATTTGTCCTAAAAGAATCCTTGCCATCAGCTCAGTCCAAGTGTAAGCCTGAGCCCCGCAAAATTTGGGAGTCTTCCCAATGACTTCTGGAGAAGGTGAGATACTTTTACAGTGCACTCATCATGTTCAATTTTCCAATAAAAGAGCGCAAAATACTGCTGCTCTTCCACTGGGGAAACTGAGGAAAGGAATTTGGTAGAGATTAGCCACAGAGCAGTGCAGCTGTCCCCACTTCCTGCTCCACCTGCGAGACAACACAGCCTCAACACAGCAGGCTGAGCTCTAAGCGATGCTCACTCTGCAGGCTGCTGTGTGCTCACGGTTAATAACAGAATCACGAAGTTTGAAAAAGACCTCTCAAATCATGTCCAACCATCAGCCCATTCTCACCATACTCACCATCTACGTCCCTGAGGGCCACATCTACCTCCTTTGTGAACATCTCCAGTGGCGGTGACTGCACCACCTCCCTGGGCAACCTCTGCCTGATCACTATTTCTGAGAAGAAGTTTTCCCTAATATCCAACCTGGACCTCCCCCAGTGCAACTCCCATACACTCTTGTCCTATTGCTGTTACCTGGGAGAAGAGGTCAACTTCCACCTTGCCACAGCCTCCTTTGAGGCAGTTGTGGAGAGCAATAATGTCACTGCTAAGCCTCCTCTTCACCTGACTGAACCACCCCAGCTCCCTCAGCTGGTTCCCATAACGCTCCACACCCTTCACAGCTTTGTCGCCCTTTTTAATGATCACGTGAAGCTAAACCAAACGAGCAACTTTGCATCACGCCCTGCACAAATCTCTGCATTGGCTGTGCTTCTTGCTGGACGGGCAACTGATGGAGGAGCTGCAAACACACTGGCTCACATTCCTGGCTCTCCCTTGCTGTTACTCGCTGATCCAGCTGCGCAGAGCAGCCCCAGACCCGCCGTGCTCAGCACACAGCCTGGTACAACCCGGAGCAGCACACAGGTGTGCAGCCAGCAGGTGCTGGGCTCCAGACGCCCGTGGCAGCGGCCCGCGGGCCCGGGCAGGCAGCACGGCGCGGTGTGCCAGCACAGCTCCCCCATCCCGGTCAGTTCGCACAGCGAACGCACCAACAGATTCAATGTGGCTCTAATTAGTTCCAGCGGCCTTATGTTTGCAATAAAAGAGAGCGCTGGCTTCGGGGCGTGCTCGGGGACCGCAGGCTGGAGAAGGACGGCCGTCTCGCCCGGGCTGTGCTCGCTTTGGGGTGCAGCCCGAGCACGGCCATCGCAGCTCCGTGCCGCCGGGATCGTGCTTAGGCTTCAGGAGGACTTCGTACAACTGAGCGCTTCCCCCTCCTAACACCGCCTCCTCCTCGGCTACTTACACCGGGGTCGGTCGGCAGGGAAACTCGTTCCAGGCGCACTTGTATTGGGCCTGGACGTAGCTCTCGGTCCCGTCCAGCACCGAGCAGCTGACGTTCTTGTTCACGATGTACGCGCACCAGTTCCTGAGGGCAGAAGAGACACGAGGCGTCAGCGCCGGGCAGCGGTAGAGGCGCGAGGGGCCCCGCACGTCCCGGCACCGCAGCCCAGCCCGCCTCGGCTCACCCCGCTGCCGGCAACGGCCCCCCAAGCCGTGCGACCACCCCGCCCGAGCACGGCGCTGCCCCGCGGGTACTCACTTGCTGCGGGAGCCCGGGCGGGAGTAGCGCAGGTGCGGGGTGGCGTGGCTGAGCCCGGCGCCCAAGGCGAGGAGCAGCGGCAGCGCCCAGCCCGAGGGCACAGCGGGCCCGGGGCTCAGCTCCATGGGGCGAGTCCCTCTTCGCCGTCTCCCTCCGTCCGTCTGTCCGCCCGCCCCGCCGCTCTGCCCGCTCCCTCACTGACGCAAATCCCCCCCACCCTGTTTCCGCCCTCCGCGGTGGCTCCGCGCCCCTCCGGCCCCGGCGCCGCTCCCTCCACCCCCGCCCGATCGGACCTAGCCGGCCCCGCTCGCCGCCCGCCCCCCGCCGTTCCCCTCTCCCCTGCCGAGGGGGAGCGCGGCAGCGCCGAGGCGGAGGGATGGACGCAGGCTCAGCGTGGCGCCGGTCGCCGTCAGCGGGGGCCCCGCTCCCCCTTCCCGAGGGGGAGCCCCAGGGACCGGCTGGGAGAGGGGCCCCGTGGGGATGGCTGCCCCGGAACCTTGGGTGCGGGGCTCCAGTTCGAGTGGGGCAAACGCAGGCGTGGGAAGCTGGTGGTGCGTACCTGGGAGGTGTGGGGCTCTGCTTCCATGCGTGGCCCTGCTGTCCCGCTCGAGGTGACTGTGGTGATGCCACGGGCAGTCCTATGTGCAGCCCAGTGGCTCAACCAGACTGGCCCAGTGCAGGTACCCTTTCCTTGCCGTCTGCCTATGCCATGAGCTTCTTTGATTTCTCCTGATTTCCAGGTTTTGTCTTGAATGAGCAGGAATAAGCTGAATAAGCTCATCCAACGCTGCATCTTCTGCCCTGGCTACTTCAGAAAAGATGGCAAGAGCTCAAGGAGCAAGCAGAAAAGCAGTAACTTCCCAAGGGTCTTTTTTTTTTTTCCTCATATGCCCAGTTTTATTAAGCTCAGAATGCCGTAAGAGCCAGTGAAGTCTAAATTCTTTGTGAACCCTGTTGATCTTTCAGTGTCAGGGAGCTTGTGTCTATAAGACAGTTTCTGCCCTTCATCCTGCAGCAAGCATCACAACACCAATAACACATCTTCTAAACTAACCTATATGGGTAAAAAATAACACACATTTAAAAACTACTTCAGAAATTCTCTTTTTAGACAAGTGACAGCCATAGGATAAATTATTTGCTGAGCAGGTAGTGATGGTTATTGGAATTCACTTGCATTTCAGTGCACTCCAGTCACCCTGACTGGACCACGTGCCCCTTCCAGGCAGCCAGTGGCAGGTTCCCTGCTCTGCAGATCACAGTGAGGCCCTCTGTCCTCACCAGATCCTGTTTCTTTCTGAAGTGATCCTTTCAACATTGTCCTGTGAGGTTTAGAGGCAGAGCCCATTGGAGATATTCAAGAGGCAGAGCTCATTGAAGATATTCAAGACCTGCCTGGACGCCTACCTGTGTGACCTGGTGTAGGGAACCTGCTTTGGCAGGGGTTTTGGTCTCAATGATCTCTAGAGGTCCCTTTCAACCCCTACAATTCTGTGATTCTGTGATTCTGTGCTGTGCTTGAGCAGCGTGCAGGAGGCCTGGTGCCTTCATCAAGCCTGCACAGGTGATGGGAGCTCTTATCTTGCTGCAGGCCATGCTTGTCCAGTGTTACCTTCAGCAGCAGCCTGATGGCTTCTGCCTCCGTCACTCAGACACAGCCATTGAGACTATGCAGTCAGCAACTGTTTGTTTTGCACTGTTGTTGAACCTTGGGCCAGCTCCTCACCCCAAGCTCCAGCAGGTCTGTAGGACTACGTGAAGGGTGGAGGGCAGGGACTCAGGAGTCCCTTAAGCTTTCATAACATCTTTGACAATGAGTAAAGTATTTAAAGCCGCCATGATCGGACTTAGCACAGCTGAATAAAGCTGCAAGGCTGCCCCCACCCGGGATGTGGAAGAGAAGGAGGGAACAGTACTTGGGTGGAGAGTCAGGAGCTGGGCAGCTACCACGAGGCCCATGGGAGATCTGGGAGCAGTGATGACTGCTGCAGAGCGTGATTGGTCCCAACCCAGTCCTTGTGCTCCAGAGCCTCCCTTGGCTACAGCCAAGCCCTGGCTTTCTAGGTCTCACACGCAGGCAGAGCAGGCAGCAGGGCTGGGCCCTTTCTTCTGCTCTAGGCAGTGGCCTGCTCTGAGTTGTAGGCTGGGTTGTCAAGTCAGGCCTGCCCCAACAGGCAGCTTTTGTCTGCTGGCCGTTGTCAGCCTTATCCAGCATCTTCTGTTGCCTTCGTTACTTCGCTTTCTCAGCTTCCAACTCTGACAGGAAAATAAGCTTTAAACACAGGGGTCAAAATTATGCTTTCAAACTGCTTTTTAGACATGGTTTCATTGGGAACCTACACTAGCACTTTCTGTCCACAGCCCCGAAGAGAAACACAACAGCTCACGCATGCACAGCATTCACCAGTGATAAACAGTGATGGGGCAAGCTGAGTGTATTGCAATCATTTGAATCCAACCTGTTTCACCTGAAAAAATGTCATCCTTCCGCCCTCTTTGAAGAGGGCAACACCTCACTATGTAAGAAATTACACCTCAGGCAACTAGTAAGTAATTTACCATTCTGCTGTTTACATTTGCAACAGCATGACATTCAGGCATCATTATTTGTGCTGGCAGAAATTATTTGGAGTTTCTCCAATCTGAATAAAGCAAAGCTACAATTCAGCCCCTAAAAAGTAATAACAGTTCTTCCTTCCTTTTCCCCCTCATCCAGTCAGGGAATTCCTGAAGTTGGTCCTTTTCCAAAAGTGATGATCAGCGTGCAAGAGCTGTACATCATCCCACAAAGGGATTAAATAATGAAAGACTGAGGTCATGCCCATTTGAGAATGACTGCACGGCACAAAAATTAAAAGGCTAATTTAACCAAAATGAACATGAAACAAATGTGTTGCCATACACAAAGCACAGAGCTTATATCTTGGTGAGGGAAGATGAGGCAGCTATGACCTGATTTGCCAAGAGTGTTCCTTTCTGACATGCAAATTGAATAATCATGGAATCATGGAATCATAGAATCATTAAGGTCAGAAGGACTACTAAGTTCATCTGGTCCTACCATGGACCCATCAACACCATGCCCACTAACCCATGTCCCTCAGTGCCACATCTACTTGGCTCTGAACACCTCCAGGGACGATGACTCCACTGCTTGATTGATCAAAGGATCAGTGTTATACGGCACTATTAGAACAGAAAGCCCCTATAGCCTTCCCTCCCCTCTTGGTTGTGGCAAGTAATGAGCCAAGAGTTGCCTGTGACTTCAGGATTCTGTCCTCAGAAAAATATTTGTTTACTTGAGAACTGTGCAAGAACATCTCTCTCCTGTTTTCTGATGGAGAGGAGTTGTCCCTTTGCTGTCTGGATCAATTACTTTGTAAATATTGTGAAAGAGAACCCGGATAGTACTTGCTGTCTTTGCTTTGCCATTACTGTAATAGGATGATTCCACTACAAAGCATGATGTGTCTTTGAATTTGTTGAATTTAAAATAAACCATAACAGTGAAGAACAAAATCTTGCAGCAACATTCACCTCTCCTCACTGACACAAGAGCCCTGTGGGAGCCTGAATGCAAACACCAAGGCTGAGAGTGAAGTTTTGTCGTGGCTCGGTAAGGCAGAGGATGATTTGTGCTGAGAAGTATTGAGCTGAATAAAAATGGATGAATTGGGGCAGATGTTTGGAATTGACCTCAGCGCCTATGATATTCACACTGGACCTATGATATCAGTGGATTCAACAATATCCAGAAGAAAAATTTGGCTTTGACTGGAGAATTTTCAACTCAGGTGCACAGCAAACATGTGCTTCAAGCTCTGCTAATGGCTGCATTTTTTCTATGGGTGTAACAAGTTTTATTTCAGAGTATAAGTATTAAGGTTAATATTGCTCTCAAGGAGACAGCTATGCTGAGACTTTAATTTGCTGTGCTACATCCTCTCATCTCTGAAATTCACAGAAATCCCAAGACAGACGGTTCTTACAGTACATGGAAAGCATCCTGCACTCCTCCCTCCAAATGGAGCATGTCATCTGCAAGTGCACAGAGAAGGCTATGGTGACCAGAGGGGTCAGCAGCACGGGCTGCTGGAAAACAGACATCACAGACGTGAGTCTTTTTACGTTATTCTGAAGTGTATCTCCCTTGACTGTGCTGTGAGGCTGTGTTTTCAGCACCAGGATCGACTGCACTTTAACGCTTCGCAACGGGATGATGTTGGGAAAACAACAAGGGCCACGTGCAAGTGCCTGCCAAAGAGAGGAAAGTGCACAGAGTGGGCGGGCAGAGCAAACAGCAAAAACATTACCAGGGTATTTACTGCAGAGCTCCAGAAGAGAAATGTGCCTTTAATAGTAAGATGCCTGCTCTCCCTGTTGCTACAGATTAATCCTAACATCAACATTTATAATTCAAGTCCAGGGTTGGTATCCTTCGGTTTATCTCATATTGTGAGTTACTTTTGTTCACTGTGATATCTTTAAAAAAATTATTCCCCACTGCAAGAAGCAGCCTTCATTGTTTTCTAGGTACAGTCATCTCTGAAATCAGACAGACACACCTCTACCTCTGAATGTTTAATGAAAATTAATGAGAAAATGAAAAGCAAATGTCAGTTGTTAATTAAATGACTATTTGCAGAGATGTTAAACTGAAAAAAAAATCAAGCCCTAGCCAGGGTGAACAAATAAAGAGAGAGAACAGAAGATATTGGTTTACTTTTTATTGAAGAGCCACCTTGGAGGGCCATAACAGTTCTGTGGCTATGAAGATGTCAATTCACCGAAGAGTCCTGAAGCAGAACTCTTCTGTGCACTCTTGCATCTGTGGAGCATGCAGAGCCAATGCCATCCTGGCCGGTGCTTATGCCACATCTGCAGTGCCGTGTTTCCCTCCCTGGGCTCTGGTGGAGTGGTATTGTGTGGGCTTCATGGAACAGGCTGGCAGGTGTCACACCACACAAGTGGGCAACCTGGCAATTCCATCTCTTCTTCTTTGAGTTATTTTCTTTTTGAGAAAACAACAACAACAAAAAAAATTAAAAATAAATGTTTGTGCTAGGTTTACTTGTTTAGACAGAAAAACAAATCAGTGATTTACAACTGCAGCACAAACATTGCC